TTTCATCCAACTCAAATCTTGAGCTTACAAAAATTGTGCCTCCTAGAGGTTCTGGAAGCTCAAGCCTTAGCTTCATTGACCTCAGAAGGAAAATTCCCAGAACACCATACCCTGGACAATATTTCCCAAGAACTCCAGGCTGCCTTCTGTATTCTCCTTCAAAAGAAGCACAAATGCCATCTGCACCCACCCAACCACTGGCTGCTCCCCTCAGAGCAGATTGTACAGATGATACACTCCCAGGGCTACTGCTGACCCTCCAGCCTGGACTCCTGGGGCAGATATCTGAATGGTGCCTTGAGAATCCCCTTCACCCTTTCAACAGAGGTGATGAGCAGCTTTGTGCTTCCCAGTGAGAAAAATTAGTGTTATTCAGATTGTCAGTAATTAGTACCCAACTCTAGCAACATATGAACGATGGAAAGGAAAGGAGGCCAACAGAATGTGGTCTAGACTAGTGGTTCCATGTGAGACTTGGTGTCAGCAGTCTTGGGCTGATTCCCGGCAGTCTCTCTGACTCACATTGGGCAGGTCACATTATGTTTACTGGATGCTTTTTAGATCAGAAATGTGATTGTGGTTCACTTGGCCTCACATCAGGAGTGTGAGTTGTTAATGGGGCACTTCAACTGCACATTCAGGATAAAATATTGTCCACACAGCAGGTGAGTAACTGTGTTTAAAAAAGACTATCAGATATCTGTTAGCTACAAGGCAGAGGAATTTATAAAAGGGCTGGAGGTGAGGAATGTATCTTGCTCAGCACAGTTATAGCATACTTCAAAAGTAGAATGCATAGCTTCAAGTAGATTTGTGAAGTTTTTCAGATTCATTGAAAAACTTCTAGAATCTTTGGAGATAGATGCTCCTCACCCTGGGCGGAATGATTTCTCTCTTCGTGGCTGGATCAGTTTGGTCCTCTGAGAAGCAAACACTAAACCGGGATAAAAAAGTAAAGAGACATATTAGAGAATATATCTGTGAAAGACTTGGGAAAAGGAGCCTGAATAGCTGGGGACAGTATATACTCATTAGGCACAGTAGACATGGTGCCTTAGAAGCCATGCTATTTTAGGGGTCCACAACAATGTTTTAATTTTGATTATTTTAAAACCAGACCAGAAAATGAACATGGTGATCACAAATACAATAACAAATCCAGCCTAGGTTACATTCATCTTTATACCAATGCAAACACAGACTACAATTTTTAATATAGTTACGGAGGAAGAGAAAGTGTCCAGGCCCCAAAAAGTCATAATGTGGTCCTGGTTTTGGCAAACCTTCAGCACCAGATGCAAATCCTGAGAAAAAGGAGAGGCCAGGCCGAGAAGTTTCTCAGAAGCCCCTGGAAGGTGGGATGGTTCTGCTTTAGTCCCCTTGTGGCCTGAGAGCAGCCCAGACTGATGGGCCTTGGTACAAACACTGTTGTGGATCCAAAGGGGAGGCAAGTGGAGACTGACAGGCAATTATGTCACTACAGAAAGTTTTCTTGATGGGAATTCAATAGCCCACTTTCATGTCCACCCCAATGAGGAATCAAGGAAACAAAGTTTTTATAGCTCATTCTCCTCCACTCAGTTCTCCTGGAGGCATATCTTGTAAAGGGATTCTGTCTTACTGGTAAACATATTCAAAAGGCAAGGAAGCCAGGCACGGTGATGCACATCTGTAATCCCAGCAGCTCAGGGGGCTGAGGCAGGAGGATCGCAAATTCAAAGCCAGACTCAGCAAAAGCAAAGCACTAAGCAATTCAGTGAAAACCTGTCTCTAAATAAAACACAAAATAGGGCTGAGGATGTGGCTTAATGGTCAAGTGCCCTTGAGTTCAATCCCCAGTACCCCCAAAAAAAGGCAATGAAGACCTCACCTCTGCACTTGATCATCACATGAGATCTTAGGCAATGGAGTCATATTAAAGAGGCTAGTTGGTAACATGCATTCTCCATTACTAAAATGTTCCAGTTGAGGCTAGCTGGCCTCCAGAACTGCTTTAGAGATCATTTGAGTTTGGGATAAGAAGGAGTGTCCTCCCGTCCATATCAGAGGTTCATTGATTCCTCCTAGTCTGGCACTCTGATTCTTCCTTTAAAATTCCTCCCCAGAGGTGGCCAAGCGGACTCCAATAGCCATGTCCAGTCTAAAGATATGTTTATTTGGTACACATAAGTTTAAAAAATTATGGTAGGAGGTTTTGTTGTAGGGTAAATTGTGCTGCCCCAAATGCCCAATACTTCCGAATATGACTTTATTTGGAAATAGGGTCATTGCATATGTAATTAAAGAATATGAGGTCATGCTGGAGAAGGGTGAGGCCCTAGTCCAATATGACTAGTGTTCTTAGGAAAAGAACAACTTTGGACACAGGGGGAGATACACAGACAGGGAGAACAGTCTTTGTAAAGACAAAGACTGAGAGTCACAAGCCAAGGAATGCCAAAGATTATTAGTAAACCACAGAAGTAGGAGAGAGACCTGGGACAGATTCTTCCCTCAGATGCAACCAACCCTGCTGACACCCTGATCTCCAACTTCCAGCCTCCAGGACTGTGAGACAATAAGTTTTCTTAGTTTAAGTCACCCAGTATTGCCGTATTTTGTTTTGCCAGTCCTAGCAAACACAGGGAACATATTTAAAACTTGATTGGTTTACCACACAAAACTGGATTTTGAGCTTCTGTGAGAAAGTCTAGGCCTAGAGGCATCAGAACACATGTCCATGCAAGGGGCAGGCTCCTTACTGACATCTGATTATTGCTACTTGAGAATACGGGCCTAGCCCTATCCAGTTATCTGATTTTTTCCAGAGAAGCTTTTCTGTTTCTTGTTGCTGAGGAAATATGATCTCCGATGCTGGTAACTAATTCACCAGCTTCTATTTTCTCCCTGGTTCAGTCCACTTCTGGAGTACACTTAATCTGGCTGGTTCCTCTGAGCATCTGAGTTTGTGATCTCTATTGATTCACAGTTGCATGGCTTGGCAAGATGATAAGAGAAATTACATTTACATAAGGGAGATTATGCCAGGGGTTGAACAGTTTGCCACGAGGAGAAAGTGAGCTTGGATCTGCCCATCTTTCCTCTGCTTTGTTGAGTGACAACCTTTCTCAGACTGTGTTCGTGCTCTGAATAACCATGTGTTGAGGGCTTTCCACACCGGGCAGTGTGCTAAATACCCAGTGTGTGAACTACATATACTGTATTGTTCCTAATATTTTTATTCCTTTTTTGCCAAGGGAAAGGAATTCTTATTAACCAGGCACTATGTTATTAGATTAATTAATCCTATTAGATTAAAGATATTAAGTTGTAATTGTTCTGAGCTTATAAATAGAACATTCTGCCCAAGCTACATTACATACCACTTCTCAGTCATAGCTTCAATAAATTAATGCAGAATTGTTAATAATAGCAGCCAACCCTTATAAAAAACAGACTATTGGGCAAGTGTAGTTCTATGAGTGGCAAGACTATTTCATTATAATATGTCAGGCAATTACAATGTGCTGTGCAAATGCTAAACAACTTTACAAATGTAATCTTATTGTATTCCTATTGTAATTTACATATGTATTCCTGTTGACCCTGTGAGGGAAGTACAGTCAGCTCTCTCTATCCAGGGGTTTCGTGAATTCATGAATTCAACCAAGACCAAAAATATTCAGGGAAAATAATTGCATCTTTACTAAACATTTACAGAATTTTTCTTGCTATTATTCCATTAACAATACCCAATAACAACTATTTACATGGTATTTACATTGCATTAAGTATTATAAGCAATTGAGAGGTGGTTTCAAGTGTAAGGGAGGATGAGTATAGGTTATATGCAAATACTACTCCATTTTTTTTCTAAGGGACTTGAACATTCATAGATTTGAGTATCCTTAGGGACTGTTAGAACCAATCCTACATAATACCAAAGAATGACTATATTTGATTCTCATTTTACAGATCAGGAAATTGAAGCCCAGACAAATTCAGAAACTGCCTCAAGATCACAGGGCTAATAAGAAATGACACAGGAGTCAAACTCAGTTCTTTTCAATGCTGAACCAAAGCTCTCCCCATTCTGCCACACAGGGTTTTTTTTTTTGTTTGTGGCCTCTAGTGAGGATCAGCCTCTGCACCTGCCAGGTGGTATCACCAGGTTCTGCTGAGAATATTATCAAAAGATCAGACTTCCAAATCCTAGTCCTACCTGCAGTACTGATTAGCCTACATGGTTCATTAATGACACACAAATTGCCATCTAGTTGGAATACCGTTTTAGTTTCATTCAAAAAACACACGATGGCATTTTGTATAAATTGTAAAGATGCCCAGGTGTGTCCCTCTATGCCCTCTAAGAATAGATGGTATGCTTTGTATACTGTTAAAGTCTTTATAACTCAAAGAAGGCTTGGGAGGCTGTGACTTCTGAGGCATTGTTCTGTTTCTTCCCACATGGGTGTGTCCATCCTTAATATTCAAGCACTTTGCAGATGACATATTTTTCTTTCTATATGTGTATTACTTCAATTAAAAGTGAGGGTAATCAAATTATGTACATGTACAAATATGAAATTATGAATACCACTACTATGTAAAATTACAATGCACCAATAAAAAAATATTGGAAAAAAGTGAATAAAGAAGGAAACTTTCCAGTGGGGTAAGGAGAGTAAGGTTAAGCTGGGCTGGGGTTATAGCTCAATAGATGAGCACTCATTTAGCATGAGAGAGGCCCTGGATTCAATTCCCAGCACCCAGGGAATAAAAAGGAAGAAAAAAGTAAAGGAAATAAAAAGAATGGTTCTCATCCAGTATTTACAGAACAATGAATGCCATGTGCCTGTCTCCCAGCTGCAACATTTATCCACTCATGGCCAGACCGCTTTCATCTATGACCCCTCCACTCCCTCCACCACACCACTCCCCTGGATTATGTTGAAGTGAATCCCAGAATCCTACCGTTTTGTCATCAGCTCTCACCCTGTGTTCCCTATGTGATTTTTCAGGCCACTACATGTACGTGGACTCAGTTTACGTCAAGCACTTCCAAGAGGTGGCTCAGCTCATCTCCCCCATGACCACGGCCCCCATGTCTGGCTGCCTGTCCTTCTATTACCAGCTCCAGCAGGGGAATGACAACGTCTTTTCCCTTTACACTCGGGATGTGGCCGGCCTGTATGAGGAGATCTGGAAAGTGGACAATCCAGGGAATGCAGACTGGAACCTTGCAGAGGTCGAGTTCAGCACTCCTTACCCCATGGAGGTAAGTGTGCCCTGAGCAGGTGTTGCTTTGGGGATCCACCCACACACTGGCAGGGAGGTCCACACACAACACCTGTCAGTCTTCTTTTCCTGCTGCATCTCAATCTTTCTTTTAAGGTGGGCATGCATTGAATTTCTATTTAAAGTTTTTATTTTGCACTGACAATCAAAAGTGAGGGTTGAGGTCTACCGACTAGATTTCCTAGGCATGTGTTCCCTCTGAACCTTGCATTATGACCATGGAAAGTTCTAAGATGGAAATAAGCAACAGCAACCAGTTCCATCTTTGGGGAATTCCATTCCCCAAAGCAGTTTTGAAGGTCTCCCTTAACTAAGAGACTTGTCTTTCTAGAAAAAAAACTGACTTAAATCCTTTCTTTGCAGCATAAATAATGTCATAAAAATCAAAAATAAACTTACTACTAAAGTGCCGCAGTCCGGCTGCAGCAAAATAACCGGGGGGTGACGAGCAACTTGTGTACATTGATACAGCATGAGAGGGAGCCGTTTATTGTAGGACAGGAGGGGTATTTATACATTCCACACACCTTATCTTAATTAACATAAACTAGATACAGCAGTCAACCAATAAGGAATCTCCACACTTAATGGCTCCCTGGCTTTACTTCACAAACCACTCCCTCTGGCAAAATGCCAGGCGCCATCCAGACTTGTTTACAGACCTTAACACTAAAGCCCTAATTTGAAACAAATCTTGATGCATTTATCTTACAACTGTTTTTACGGTTATATAAATGATAAATGTGCAATGCGGAAGAATTACAAAATTCAAAGAAGCAAAGTAAGTTAAAATGCCCCAGGCCAATCCCACAAAAATGAAGAACACTAACATTTTGGTGTTTATCCTTGTAGACCTTTCTCTAAGCATATATATTAGTATATATATCCATGTATATGTTTGAGAACTTTTAAGTACTTTCAAGACTATTATCCAATAAAATGGTAAAATTATCCCCATATTTACAGATGAAAAAGGAGAAACAGAGTGTCCAAGAAAGTTGACATCATTTTTTAGATCACACAGCTGGTGAATGCCAGAGAGCTTAGGAAATTTCCTAGACTAAAATCTGACCCACAGCTGTAGGAGGAGGCTCAGCTCTGTCTGAGGACCCATGGGACCTGGAGGATCAGATAGCACTGTGGTTGCTATACATGAAAGATATGCTCTAAGGACCTGGAGCTATAAGTGGAGTCTCAGGTACCACAAGTTTTTAATACCCCCCACTTCTCACTTTATGCTTTTGTAATGTCTTCCTTGGTTTCCTTTAAAGTGCAAAAGAACTAGATTATTCTTCTGGCTGCTTTTCAGTGGTGCCATCTGCTAGCCTGCTGTAGGGCTGCAGAGAATGCTGGGATTGGGTCTTGGTTTCTGATGTGATCCATCTACTGACGGCATGCCTGACACTCTCCCACCTCCTTCTTATCTTCCTCTTCTCCCCACCCCCGAATGGCCCCAGAGAGGACATGGTGGATTTGTTGTTTTCTTTCTTTTCTTTTTCTTTCTTTTTTTTGGTAGCTTGTGGGCTATTTCCTAACCCAAAGTCTGACCAATTTGCTCTTGCAGCCCAGTGGAAAGTTTTCTATGTGTTTGGGTTTCAAGGAGGAAAAGAAATGCATGTACTGCTTCAGAACATTTCCCTTCTATTAAAGTCAAGTGAGTCACACACACATGGCACACACACACTCACTCACTCATACATCCTCACAGTCTTTTCTTTACCATCTCCTCTCCTCTGACCATGAACTCTGCTCAGATAACGTTTGTATGAGTGAAATGTTGCTGAAATTTTTTAAATCAATACTTGAGAAGTTACAATGCCCAACACTACTAAATTTAAACACATCTTAGAGTCCACATGAATGTGGTTTTGTTCCACTGGTCTGAACCTATTCACTGGTATTATTTGCTCTTGCTAGTTGCCAAGAAAAGAAACTTGTCCAACAGAAATCAGAGAATTTAATGTCACCATATTCTCAAATAAATTTTAAAAAAGGAAAACAAACATTGGAAATTTTCAGAACAAGAAAAAACACATTGGCATGTGGACTGTGATTAGCATATCCTCATCAGAAACATTATCCTTAATCTACCTACTCAATGTGAACAATTTGTTTGCTTTACCAGTCAGTGCATTGAAAGCTCAATGTCATGGATCTGGGTCAATTTGTATACTTAATTTGCCCCTCTCATATATTCTTTCATTCATCTGTTTCTTCATTCATTTGTTCCTTCATTTATAACCCTTTTCTCTGGTCAAGAGAAGCTTACAGGGCTCCCCATAGATTTTGAAGAGTCTGGATACCAGGTCCCTCTAGGACTATTGTGATTAAGCTGAAAGGGACCTTACAAACCATCTAATCCAATTTCCTTTTTGCAAAAATGAAGAAACAGAGTCCTGAAAGAAAGAAAGGACCTATTCAGGCCCATTAGTGTAGTAGCTAATTGAACTTGGAATTGAATATAAGTTCAAGAGGGAGTTAAGCTGAAGGAAAAGATACAAAATAGTTCAGAGCTTCTTACATACCTGACGCTGTATTAGGATTAATCTTTATATACATTATCTCATTTAATCTACCCCACAGTTCCTCAAGGGAGATGTTATTTTGCCTGTTTTAACAGATGAGAAAAGCATGACCTTGAGAGATTTACTGATGTATCTAAGTTGCCTAACTAGTAAGTGATAAGATAAGATTTGAACTCTAGTCTCTCTGCCTCCAAGGCACTATTCTCTTGCAGAAGAGACTACAAACTAAAAGTCTATAGGTCAAATTTAGCTCATAGTTATTTTTCTGGATGCTAGAGTGGTTTTTTGTTGTCTTTGTCTTTTTGGTGTCGTGATTTTGGCTTGATTGTTTTCACTTTTAATTAACTGTCAGCATTCAAAAATTCAAAAATTACAAATAAAACCTAAAGGTTCAAGTCCCTTTGATAATTTGTTGGCCACAGAGACATTAGACTTGTATTTTTTGCTAGAACTACCACAATGAGGTCACTCAAAAATGGGTGCCTACAAAACAGAAATGTAGTGTCTCACAGTCCTTGAGGCCTAAAGTCCATTATCAAGGGGTCAGCAGAACTTTCCTTCTGAGGACCCTAAGAGAATCTGTTCCCTGCTTCTTCCTTGGTGGTTTGCTGGCATACTTAGGTTTACAAGTCTCTGCTTCATCTTCACATGGCATTTTCTTTTTGTGTATGTCTCCTTCCACATCCGTATTTCCCAGGGGTTTTTTGTTTTGTTTTATTTTGTTTTGTTTTGTTTGTATGTGGACGTACCAGGGATTTAACTCAGGGGCACTCAACCACTGAGCCACATCCCCAGCCCTATTTTGTGTTTTAGAGACAGGGTCTCACTGAGTTGCTTAGTGCCTCACTTTTGCTGAGGCTGGCTTTGAACTCATGATCCTCCTGCCTCAGCCTCCCGAGCTGTTGGGATTACAGGTGTGTACCTCTGCTCCAAGCTCCATATTTCCTGTTTTTTTTTATAAGAATGCCAGTCATTTGGATGAAAGGCCCTCCCTACTCTAGTATGACCTCATCTTAACTAATTGCATTTGCAATGACCTTATTCCCAAATAAGGTAACATAGTAATGTGATGGGGTTAAGACTTCAACATGTGAATTGGCTGGGGGACCAAATTCAGCCCATAGCAGCCATAACATTCCCATAGGCCAGCAACTGATGAAGCTGAGTGGTAGTGCCCCCTCTAGAAGGGCTTACCTTCCTTCTTCTTTTCTCAAGAGTCTACACCACAGCAAGCCCACTTGTTGTGCATACCCTGCCTGCCTAGTGCTTATAGGTGTTTAAGTTTTAAGACCTGCTCCACACTGGGTCTTCTCATGCTCTAAACTCATACAGTGAAACTGGGTGTGCACCTGGGTAGTTTTCCCCATACAGGCAAAGGCTGTGTTGACGACACCTGATCCCCATGGTCACAGGCAGAAAGTTGATTGAGATCAGAGTTGTGGCAGGTAAAAAGTGAAACAGAAGGGATTGCACTCATTGACCCAGGTGTTTTCTAACCATTGGAACACATCTGGCCATGCTGAGATCAGGGTCCTCCTCTCTGACTGCTACTTCTTTGCCTAGGCCCTCATCTAGCACTCCATGTAGGGAGAAGGGAAAGAGACTGGGAGGGCTTAGCTACCAAGGGAGAACCTGGCCTGCTTTCTTCACTTAGCCTATTTTTTTCTTTAATCAAAGTTTACAGTGCTAATGACTTCTAGAATTCTATCAGAAATAAGGTAAGCACTTAAGCTGATATTAACAGAAGAAGGAAATCCACCAGTGAATACCAATTTAGGGTTTCTGACATAGTCTACAAGGGCTGCTATAACAAAAGGCCATAGATTGAGTAACTTATAAACACTGGCATTTGTGTGTGTGTGTTTCTGAGGATCAAACCCAGGACTTTGCTCATGCTAGATAAGTTCTCTACCACTGAACCATGCCCCCACTTCAGAAATATTTCTCATATTTCTGAAGCCTATGGGAAGTCCAAGATCAAGCCAATGACAGATCTGGTGTCTGGTGAAGGTCTGTTTCCTGATTCATAGTTCACACTTTCTCGCCCTGTCCTCACATAATGGAAAAAGCAATGAGCTCCTTTGGGACTGTTAGAAGGGCACTAATCCCATGCATGAGGCCTCCACCTGCATGACCTAATCAACTCCCAAAAGGTCCCATCACCAAATTCCATCATATTGGGTATTAGATTTCAACATACAACTTTAAAATTTTTTTTTTTATTTTTTAACTACATGACACCAGTGGAAAGTATTACAATTCTTATTACACATATAGGGCACAATTTTTCATATCTCTGTATATAAATTATGTTCATGCCAATTTATGCCTTTATACATGTATTTTGTTGTTGTGTTGTTTTTTTTTTGTTGTTTGTTTGTTTGTTTTGCATTACTCAGGGGGAAAAACATCCAAACTATAGCACAAACTTTAGCAGTTTCATCCTCCCTAACAGAGACTTTGAGGTTGAGTAGGGTACTGTCTAAACAATTATTTGGGGGAACTTGATTACATAGGTACTTATAATTTGACCTGGTTTGATTTACATATCATTTTCCAACAGCTTAACAGAAAATATGTAACAGGTGAAAGCATATAATTTTCCTTCCCAGGTTATCTTTGAGGTTGCTTTCAATGGTCCCAAAGGAGGATATGTTGCCCTGGATGATATTTCTTTCTCTCCTGTGCGCTGCCAAAATCAGACAGGTGAGTGTTCTCTTTTTCTTCTTTTCCCAATTTGGAATTGTCTTTTCTCAATAGATGCCTGTGGTCAGGCCTTGCTTTAAATTATCTTTTATTTCCTCATTCTCATCCTTTAAAAGTTAATTAACCAAAGAGTAATTTGGGGGGATTATTATCCTCTTTTTTCCCCTCACAGAGTGAATCTAATTTTTCTGAAGTCATAGGCCAGTTATATCTTAAGGCATTTTCATCTTCCCTGCCTACTGGAAAAAGAAAATTAAATAACACGATTTTACTCCAGCCCATCTTTCTCTTTAAAGGATATCTTGGACCCATAAATGGGTGGCTGAGGATATGGGAAAAAACTTTCACAATCTACCAAATAGAATTATAAAAACTCCTTCCAACTTTAAGTATCCAAGATTTATGCCCCATGTGTAAGGATGTTAGTGTTGATAGATCTCTCTACAATAGTTTTGACTAAATATTACATCTCTTAATTTAATTACTTTCTCTTTCAAAAAGAACCCTCAGATAATTTTATCATGGAAAAATTTTGCAGTGCCATAACTTTGGTGTTTGGAGAGAAAATTTTTTACTTCCTGAGAAAATAAATAAGCAAATTAACTCAAAATGTATTATGAAATAAATGTTTTAGAATAAGAAAGATGACAATATATTAATGATAACCTAGATCAACGGCATTAACCTTACCATTTAATGAATTTGTTTCCTGGAGAGACCCAGGGAGACACTCTGATCACCCATCTTATTAATGAGTACTTGTTCTAGGTTTTGGAGCATGGGAAATAACTTTTTTTAAATAAAGAATTTTTTTCTTAGTTAGAGATGGACACAATACCTTTACTTTATTATTATTTTTATGTGGTGCTGAGGATTGAACCCAGTGCCTCACACATGCTAGGTAGGTGCTCTACCACTAAGCCTCAATCCCAGTCCCAGGAAATAACTTCTGAACCTGACTTTCAGTTAAGAGACTTGCTCGTCAGTTTAATAGGGTTTCAGATATATTCTACTATCAAGGAGACTAAGAAAAATAGTATTTTCTACTTGAGCTAAATTATTATCTCCAAATTAGAAATCTAATTTGCTTAAACTAATTTTTTGCTAATTCTAATTTTTTAAAAAGTAGGGAAATAGCTTGGTGGGGTGGCGCATGTCTGTAATCCCAGTGGCTCCTGAAGCTGAGGTTGAAGGATTGTGAGTTCACAGCCAGTCACAGCAAAAACGAGGTGCTAAGCAACTCATTGAGATCCTGTCTCTAAATAAAATACAAAATAGGGCTGGGGATGTGACTCAGTGATGGAGTGCCCCTGAGGTCAATCCCTCGTACACCCCTCCTCAAAAAGTAAAGAATAGATAGAATCAGGCTGGATTTACATGTTTTATCATTTTTTGAGTGTGTATGTGAGTGCTACATATAAAACCCAGGGCTCTCACACAAGCATTCTACCACTGAGTGACACACCCAGCTCCCATTTTATACATTTTAAGTGATTGAACCCAAATAATATCAAAGAGTATCTAAGTTTGACAAAAACACAGAAACCAAAACTGTTTCACTTCTCCTAAAATTTGATGACTTCTTAATTCCACCAGCTAATATTTTAATTATGTTAGCAATAATTTCACAACCTCTTTATCAGTATTTTTAGGATGTTCCTCTTCTCTGTTACTAGACAGTTATATTGAATTTTATATTTCCATGTTATATATGTGAGAGAAGAAATATTTACTCAATATCTGCACTGGATAGAGGGTGAGATGAAGAAGTAGCTGAGAGGTAATGGGATCAATCTTAATAAATGTTCTGCTTTTTAAAAAGATTCAGAATATGTATAAGCTCTTGCCTACTACATTGGTGGTCTGATTAGTGAAAGGGAAAAATTCCAGCAAAATGAGACCCATTTAAGATGTCTGGTAAGCCCTCAGTCTGTAAAAACACAGCCCACATAGAAACGTCTTCCCTACAGGAACCCCCTCTGAATTCATTTTTATACCAGTAGGCTCATGGAGGCTTCATACTGGTCTTCAGAACTTCCCACCACACCAACTTGACTTTAAAGTGGTTTAATTCCATCATCACAGTGTTATGCTTAAGAACTGGGAATTTGGATTCACATTCCTATTCTGCCACTTAAAATCTGTGTGATGTTGGTCATGGTATTTAACCTCTTTGAGATTTCCATTTTCACAACTATGGAGCAAAGATGGAAGAATCCGTTTCAGAGAGTGGTTGGGAAGATTTATGTGTTAATGTCTGTTACGGCCATAGCATAGAGTATGAGACAAAAAAAATGATTGGTTGTGAGGCAATATTATTAATTCAAGTTTCAAAATATGTCCATCCCTTTTCTGAAGAACAGGGGGTCAGACTGAAGTGAAAGAAAACCAGCAGCAGGCACAGCCTGTGTGTCAACTGAATCCACTTCACTGAGCAGCTGTGGGGCTGACTCAGAGTCTCTAGAAGCTTAACCCTTTGACTTTTATACTTCATCTTGCATTTCACAAATAGTTTATGCCCTTCTGTTTTATAACAGGTGCCAACTTTTTTTCCTTATCTTGGTTAGCTCCAGACTTCTTGTCTTTCCTTTCCCCAGCTGGATCTAGAGTTTTCTTTCCTCATCTCCCTAGTAGTCTGAGACAGGAATTATTTCAACATGTGAAGGATCACATTCCCACCATCTAGCTGGCTTTAAAGTTAATACAGACCTGAAATGCATCACATAATTACAGATGTTTAACACTAATATCACATATTGCCCCGGAATTCTTCCAGAAAACAGTGATACTTGCCTCCCCACTTTGAATTATAGCACCTCACAAATTCCCTTGAACTGGAGCTAACACTCTAAAAATATGCTCTCCTTTTGGTCGAGAAGTCTTTGAATGCCTCACAATCCATCCTGTTCACTTTTAGGAATCCTGCCTGGATGCCCAATCCCAAACTGATAGCCCCACTGCTCTGCCGTTTGCAGGCCCAAAATCTTCTCTGTGCTTGAGTCCACCTAATCCCCAGGTGAAGGTCGGAGAGAGCCCTGACACTCACTGTATTCCTCTCAGAGGATCACTACCTGAATCCTTTAATCTTCTCTGCCTAGTCAGTGGCCCAGCCCCATGTGTCATCAATGTTCTCCAGGAGAATGCCAGGTCCCACTCACTCTTCCCCAAGACAGCTTTGGTTTGTATCCACCTGCTTTAGGGCCTGGCTTATTTGAAATAAAGCTCCTCTGCAAATTTAGCAGCCTTCAGAGCACACCATATTCAGTGTCTCTCTTTTAGTACTACAGGGGCTGATGAGCCTCTTAGATCTATAGAACTGATGATGAGTTGGTCTCCATGAACTCCACGGAGCAGAGGAAAGGATGAGAAGCACTCCCCAACTGTTCTTCTCAATTGTAACACACTCCAGCTAATTAGATTATCTTCAAAGCCTCTTACTTCCAAGAAGTTCAAATGTCAGAACCAAGTAATTAAAAGTTACATGATGATGCTTTTCTGGTAACTTGCTTCATGGGGCTTTGTATCTTTTTTCCTGATCATCAACTGATGCTTAGGGGCTTCCATCTGTTTCTGATTCCTTCCTGTGCTTCGAATATCTTATTAACACTCCCCAGTAGCTCATTTTGTGATCACCACTTGACCCATAAACAAGCTTGAAGCAAAGGCTTGGCCTCTACCCCTGATCTCCAGGCAGCTCTATGTGAGTCAAAAAAAAAGCCCTCTGGCCCCATCTTCCACAACTGCATACTGTCTTAGGGCAAATGAGCATTCTAAGGGAAGAAGATTTAGTATTAAAGTTAACTTTTGAGATTTTGTTTATATCAGACCACAGACAAATCCGCTGCTAAGACTAGGTATTTAGTAAAACAATATAATCCCACTATGAGGACACTCAATATAATCACCCATGGTGACTCAGTTCATCACCATGATCCTTGCTTACTTTCAAGTTTTGTTTTGTTTTTTAATAGACTTCATTTTTTAGAGCACTTTTAAGTGTACAGAAAAATTGAGCAGAAAGTACAGAGATTTTTTTACATACCTCTCCCCCAATAAACATCAATGTCAACCAGATTCTAGTTTACACTAAGGTTCATTCTTGGTATTGTATATTTTATGGGTTTGGACAAATTTATACTGACATATATTCCCCATTGTAGTGTTATACAGAATATCTCTCCCTGCCCTTCCAACTGCTGATCTTTTTATTGTCTCCTTAGTTTTGCATTTTCTAGAATGCCGTATAGATGAACTCATAGTATTTAGCTATTTCATATTGGTTCCTTCACTTAGTAATATGCATTTAAGTTTCCTCTGTGTCTTTTGGTGGCTCAGCAGCTCATTTCTTTTCAGCAATAATGTTCCATTTTCTTGATATGCCGCAATTTGCACCCACTCACCTACTGAAGGACATCTTCGTTGCTTTTGTGCTTTAGTGGTTAGAAATAAAAACTGCCATAAACTTTTAGGTTTTACTATTATCTGCCACCTCATCCTACACATATAATAAATGGGCTAAGATTCTCTTGCAGCCACCCAAAAGTGCTGCTTTGAGATTCATTCCTGATGAATAATTTTATTTTGTGCATGGCAAATGGGAATACCACACCAATTCCTAAGCTTCATGGCCATCTGTAGATTTTGGATTTTCCTCTGTTTTTTCTTTACTAAATAGCAGAGGATTGGCTAAGATTAAGAGCATCATGAGATTTCCTGTGGTCTCAAATCTCCATGGGAGAATGTTGAAGGATCCTTGTTTGTATGACATTAGACTCATTTTTCACAGACTTTGTCTTCAGGGCTTAAAGATACAACCTGGTGATGACAGAATCAGGACAGACTAGGTGGGGACTAATCCACCAGCCTTAGGGTACTGAGAATTCTCTTCCTCTCCTTTTCTCCTGCCTGGCTTATTAAAGTTTGTCCCTATAGCACATGACCTCAGATAGTATCAGGTTCCAGTTATACAGGAATATTTTCTTCCTATTCACTTTTGGTTATGTGTTGTTAGTCACTTATTTTCTTAATTTTGTGTTTTTGAGACTCATTTTTGTATCATTTCAAACTCAGACAAAATCTGCATCTATATTCCAGAGAACTGCCATATACTCTCCTTCTGAGTCTACAAAGTGTTAACATTTTGCCTTCTTTGCTTTAGCAACCACTTAAGAGTATGTTGGGGGCTGGGGCTGTAGCTCAGTGGTAGAGTGCCTGCCTAGCATATGTGAGGCACTGGGTTTCATCCTCAGCACCACATATAAATAAATAAATAAATAAAGATATTGTGAGCATCTACAACTAAAAATAAAAATAAAATAAAAGAGTAGGTTGCAAACATCAAGCCTTTACACTATGTATTTATAAAACCAAACATACTCGGCAACAGAACGAAAGAATGATTACAAAGTTTGAGAAGTTTAATACTTATACAATATTTTCAACTAACTTTCAGTTCATATGATGATTTCTCCAATTGCTCTTATAATGTCCTTAATAGCTCTCTGGGTCAGGATTGAATTTTGGATCCCTCCTTGCATTTAGTGTCATGCCTCTTTCCCCCTCTTTAATCTGGGCCAGTTTCTAAATCCACCTGAAAGTTTTCTTTCTTTGAAAATTGACAAATTGAAAGCAAGTGAGTCTTTATCCCTAAACAGCTTCCTGTGCCACCAGCTCACAGGAAGAACTTAAATGTCTCTCAAGATGATTACCCAGTTATACAAATTAGCATCCCCTCTCCCTGACCCCAGAATATTCTACCAGCATGCAGACCAGGATCACACTTAGATAGACTGAACATGTCTCAAACTACTATAGCCACATCCCCTCTGGACCCAAAGGGCAATCTACAATCTAAATAGTGAGATTTATGAGTCATTTGTTAATAGGACTAGATGTTATTCTCAAAAGTGCAGTTGTCTTTTATGGTCTATTCCCTTCAAGTAATCTGGGCTGTGGTGATATTTATAGACCAAGATAAATAATACCAGAACTCTGCAAAGCCAGAATAATAGCAGCCCCCTGTTAGAACTGGTGCAACTTTTGAGCCAGGTATGGTGGTATGCACCAGGTGTGGTGGTAGTAGAATCCCAGCTATTAAGAATTATAGCTACTATGGAATCCCAGCTATTCAGGAGACCAAGGCAGGAGGATCACAAGTTCAAGGCCAGCCTGGGCAATTTAGCAAGATCAATCTCAAAATAAAAATAAAAAGGGGCTGGAGATGTACAGCACCCCTGGGCCCCATTCCTAGTACTGAAAAAAAAATGGTGTAGCTTGGAATTGTGTGGTTTACAATAAGTATTGATTTTCTCCAAGCACATCAGCTCCTACTACCAAGGCCAATTATAAACAGATCCGGGCTATACTTCTGACAGAGATTCATCAACAAAGGAAAATTGTTTCTGGAAAATATTATCTTCAAAATAATATTTCTTACAGAAAAATTAAGAATCTCTTAAAAATCTGTTCCTTTCTGTTTTAAACTTTGAGTGAATTTTGAGCTGTCAAGGATATGAACAAATGCTCTGAATCTTTACATCCCAAGAGGAAATTCCTCTTGAAATCTGGTACTTATTTATTTTTAAGAGAATGTGATGAACAGGGCTTCTTCCTCCCCTCCCCATAGAGAGGAAAAGAACAATTTTCCTGTCATGTTTAAACATTGGTTTGATGCTACCCATCCGCCTGCCACTCAAGTAAAAATATTTTGTTGTGTTTTACCTCCATAGTCTCCCCTGGCACAACTGTAACCATGTCTGTCAGTCAGCTGATGTAGTCCTTTGAGGTCATTGGGCTTGACTATAACTTTGGTTCTCATTTTCTCAGAGCTTCCTTTCAGTGCTGTGGAAGCAAGCTGCAATTTTGAGGAAGATCTCTGCAACTTTTACCAAGATAAAGAAGGTCCAGGTTGGACCCGAGTGAAAGTAAAGCCAAACGTGTATCGGGCTGGAGACCACACTACAGGCTTTGGTAAGTCGGGAGTCTCACATGGGACATCTTGGTGTGGTGTTCATGCATCATTGGCCATTTTTACTCCTTACCTATGTCAAAACCGAAAGAAAGAGAGAGGAGGAGAGAGAAAGCAAGCAAGCCAGCAGGCAGGCAGGCAGGGAGGCATCTCTGAGGAAGTAAAGATAATCAGTAATGTTGTGTTTGACCATTTTTTAAAAATGTAATTCAAGTTGGCTATACAAGCAAAAGTATCTGCCTATTAATTAAATAGTCAAGCCTTTGAAAATTATTTTGCTGTTCACTTTAAATGAAATACTCTTTCAAATTTATTGGATTCTGTTTATATGAATTCTCCAGAATAGATACATAGAGACAGAAGGCAGATTAGTGGTTGCCAGGGACTGGAGTGGGAGGAACTAAGGAGTGACTGTTTAATGGATACAGGGTTTGTTTTGGGGGTGATGAAATTGTTCTGGAACAAGATAACTGTGATGGTTGTACAGTATTGTGAATGTGCTGAATTGTGCACTTTAAATTGTTAAAATGGTAATTGTATGTTATATATTTTATGTTGCATGTAAAAATATATATCATGGGAAGAAAAGATGCTACTGAACAATGGATGTGATCTATGAGGAGCTCTTAGAAATCAGTTTGAGCACCTTGTGTATGGACTCATATTTCTTTAATGACATCCTTTGTGGATCTCACCCCAGGAGAGACTGGTAGAAAGAGCTTCATCACAAGGCACACACTGTCTCATTCATTTATTCATCAGGTATTCATATCCTGGTGAATTTACCCTGATGCCAATAAAACTGAAGTTACAGGTCCCCTCACTTGCACAGGCCCTGAGAAAGGGCTTAGAAGGGGCCATCATAACATTGAACCTGTTATTTGATATTATTCTTTTTTTAGAGATTTCCCAATTTGTAGAAATGCAGGCCCTAGAAAAGCTATTCTGACCTGACCAGATGAATGCCCAGAATATACAGCAATGGTGAGTCAGATATGAATCCTAGTCTTGCTGACTGACAATCATTTCAATGGATAAGCGAAATGTTAGAAAAATGTGTACACAATACACTTCTCAGGAAGAAAATTATTCCTGCCAGGTAGGAAATCTTCCTTTCCATCCTAGTTTCTGTGGCTGGAGCTGAGAATTAAACTGACATAAGACATATAACAGGAGAAAAACATACACATTTTATTTAGTATGTTTACATAGTCTTCATAAGAAAAATTGAAGAATTAAAGAAACACATAGGCCTGAGAGAGCTTATTTATCAATTTTAATGAAGAATGATTAAACTGTGCAGAAGTGACAAGACAAAGGAAAAGGGCTGAAGCTTCCAGGGATACTAAATTATGGGAAAGTGACTAGGACATACATGGGGGAAAGTCATGGAAGATAAGGGTTATTTTAGTATGTTTGTTTGTACAAATCCACTTTAATATCATCTCCCAATAGAAAAAATATTAACTCCCAGTCCCTGGTGATTAGAATACTCTTCCCTTCCTGGAACAGGGTGCTGGGAAGACACCTTGTTCATGGGAAGTTTTATGACATGGTTTTAAGTAGAAAGAGGGAGGGCAGAGAGCCCTGCTGTCGCAATGGGTCAAAGGTGTGATTTATACAGTACAGGGGAGAAATAAAAAATGTCCACGTACTTCTGCCCTACTCAATGCTTTATTCACCTAAATCACTCAATACAATTTCACTCTATAGGTTCTTAATCAAGAAAATGACAATCCTCAATGCTAGGCACTGCAATAGACATAATCAATTCACAGCAAACAATTCTAGATTAATTCTAAGCACTGCAAACACACTTAATCATGACAGGCTAATTGACAGACATTCCTTCTGCATGCTAAGTGACTTGTTTGTGCCTGTCAGATCAAAAGTCTCAAGCCTTAGGCTTAAAGTCCAGCAGATGCACACTCAGACCAGGAACAGGTCTGATCAGGTCAAGAACCAAGGCAGGCTTCTCCTGAGAGGGTTGTAGGGAGAAGTTGCAGCTCTCGGGGTAAAGATGTGGCTGTAGAGTCTGAGAGGTGAGGAAAATACAGAGGATCAGCAAACAATGAAAAGTATTAGGATGTCAGTCCAGGTCCTCATCAGGTTCTCAACATGAGGGCATCATTGTCGACTGGCTGAATGTCTGTTCATTTTCTCCAATATTTATATCAAATTTTGGGGCTTTTGACCCCTCTTTTAATCCTTATCAGTTGCCACCAGGTCTCTCAGTGACATCATTTACCCTGGGGTTAAAACATCTGGTCTGGTGGTCCCCACACTGATCTTTTCACCTTTCCTTCTTATCTGGTAAGGATAACCTGCCAGAGGCTTCACTCTGAGTTTATCAGGGTAGGAAGAAGTGACTTGTTTGTGCCTGAGGGCCATACTGGAGGGCTCCACTAGGCTTGGCTGGTGAAACTGCAGATTTCAAACTGGAGTTTTAGAATGGCTCAGGCTTAAGTCCATCCTTACACTTTCTGCCTCTTCTGGTTCTCAAGTATTCTTCAACTCAAAATCATCAGCACTCCAAAGAGGCTCATCTGGCAGCAACACATCTGATCTCCTTCAGTGAATATGACAATCCAGGGAGGAACCTGACTTGGCTTGGGGATTCAGGGAAGGTTTCTCTGAGGGAAGTTGCAATTAGCTGAGAGAGTGTGAGTAACCAAACAGAGGAAAAGTGTCTGTAAAGGCTTTGAAAAGAGCTGATCACACCAACACATAGGAAGGTTAGCATGACTGTACCATGGGGAAGTGGTGGCGAGAGTGGAAGACATGAAGTTATTGAGGGAGATAGGTTATGGATGCGGAAGACCAGAGTAAGTGCTGGGGATTTGATCATAAAGAAAATGAGAAGGTAATGCCAGATTCGTGGGACTCCAGTAGACCTCCAGGAGCTGAATCTGATGCAATCACACAAGAGTCTTTATTGCAAGCTTGAGCCTGGACTCAACAACCATTTCCAAAGCAGCAGTCCTGAGGAGTGAGTCCCAGTCCTTTGTTCAGTGAGATTTTATAGGTTTTGGAGGTATACTCTATGCATCACAGCATCACACAGCAAATCATTTCACCTCACGGGAAAATCAAACAACAACTCTTAACATTGATTAGCACATTCACTGGCGGGAACAAGTTGGGGAAGGGTGATTGGTTAGTACAAGAGAGGGGAATTGGTTTGAACTGATTGGTTTAATCCGTGAGGGGTGTATGTGCAAAACTACATGGTTTCCTACCATGTTATCAACCACCCAGACTACTGGGGGTCATCTGGCATCCCAGGTATTCTCCCTGTCTCATGCTGATTAGTGGTTGCTAGAGGGTTGCTATGGGTCCTCACTTAGCCTAACTGAGTCAGGGACACCTAGCTTTGCAGATCTTTCCTGTTATTTGCAGACAAACAACTCAGCAGGTGGCTATCTGCCCAGGAGTGCTCTGTGGGTTTCTCCAAGGACAAGGGTCACGCTCCCTCCCTCTGAACAGGCCTTGAGGTAGAAGCTATCTTCAAAAATGGAGTCACATCCATTTCTCAAGAAGCCATTGAAAGATTTTTAAGCAGAGAAGATAAGGATTAAATTTAGGATTTTAAAAGGTTGTTCTGGCTCTTGAGTGGCCGCCATATTAATCTGCTCCGGCTGCAGTAACAAAGTACCTCAGACGGGGCTGCTTAAACAACAGAAATGCATTGTCTCATCGCTCTGCTGGCTAGGTGAAGGCCTAGGTGCCTCAGGGTTGTTTCTGGGGAGGCCTCTCTTCCTGGCTTGCAGGCAGCCTCTTTCTCACTGTGCCCTCACATGTCCTTAAGAGGAAAGAGAGTGAGCTTTGGTGTCTCTTCCTCATCTTATAAAGTGAGTTAAATAACTGGCTAGAACTAAACTGTAGAGCAAACACTGAGGTGCCCAGAAAGAAAAAAAATAAATAAAAACAGGAGGATGAGCAGAAAAGGGAATAAAAACTAATGTGTTTTTTATTTTTTCTTTTCTGCCCTGGCTTTCTAGGATACATAGACCTATTTTAAGTTGACTTTGTGGGTGGAAGGACAGGTGGGAGGGAGAGGTTCCTGTCCTTCTTTATGTTATTTAGAAGAAATAAGGGAAGAACATAGATCTTCAGCACCCTCTGATTGGAAACCTATTCTTTGGGGACAGGTTTACACATGATCAGGAGAGGAGTAGGGTCTATCCAGACACACAAATGCCACAAAGCCTGTCAGACCAGCTAGTCATACTTTCCAGCCCTACTGGTCACTGCAAAGAGAGGAAGGAAAAGTAAACTCTGGGCCTTCCATTCACTATGACCTGGTACTATGCGTACCACCTAAGTCAGCCCGTTCACACCGGCAGCTCTTAGCCCCAAGCTGATTTCATCCCTTTCATTTTATGAAAAGTGTTACTCTTAACTGATGACTAGAATCTGGGCCTATGAAGTAGGAAATCTATACTAGTTCATGAAAATGACTTAGGATTGCAGAAGGTTTCATTTGCAATGGAGGCACATGGATGTTTTTTATCACTTAAAAATCCCTTCTTGGGGCTATGGATGTGGCTCAGCTGTAGAGCCCTGATCTAGCATGTGCGAGACCCTGGGTTTGATCCTCAGCACCACATAAAAATAAATAAATAAAATAAAGGTATTGTGTCCAACTACGTCTAAAAATTAAATATTTTTTAAACCTTTCTTGCATTGTAGCCTATGGGAATAGTTTCTGCTGGTAAATCCCACTACCTTTAGCCACATTTGCCACTTGATAATCTGGGGTAGATTATTTTGCCTTGCTGTTACACTAAATGCTTTGTCTTGTTGACAGGATATTACTTGCTGGCCAACACAAAGTTTACTTCTCAGCCTGGCTACATTGGAAGGCTTTATGGTCCCTCCTTACCTGGAAACTTACAGTATTGCCTACGTTTTTATTATGCCATCTATGGGTTTTTGAAAATGAGTGACACCTTAGCAGTTTATATCTTTGAAGAAAATCACGTAGTTCAAGAGAAGATTTGGTCCCTGCTTGAGTCCCCAAGGGGTGTTTGGATGCAAGCTGAAATCACCTTTAAGAAGCCCATGCCTACCAAGGTACAGTAGAACGGATACATCTTTTTTCCATTTGCAATTGTTGGACTGGACTAGTGAATTCCTGTTTAGTCACTGTCAGCTGGTAATGTGTTATGTCCCTTATATTTAGGCTCTCAGCCCTGCCCCCACACACTACACCAGCCATGTACAAGTTATTCCTTCAGTTCTTCTTCAATCTGGGTCTCCAGATCATGACTATCCAGGGAGTTTGGTTATTTTTCATTTAAGGTCTCCTGTAGATTGTCCTCAGACTATAGTATATGAAAACATATCTCTCTCTCTCTCTCTCTCTCTCTCTCTCTCTCCTCTCTCTCTCCTCCCCCTCTCTCTCTCTCTCCTCTCTCTCTCTCTCTCTCTCTCACACACACACACACACACACAACACACACACATGCACACACATGTAAGAATGCTAGGATTTAAAAACAGATGAAATCACTGAGCCTGGTCCAGCGTTAAATGTTTAAGGTCAACAGCCTAAGGCTCTACTGTGTACAGGATGGGAAGAGGATGTATGCTCAAAGTGTAGGTCCAACCCTGCCCCAGTCAGAGAATTTACATGAGGGATTCATCAGCAGCTGATCCTGATAGCAACAAGAATACAAAACACCTTTATTGCAGAGGAAAGGCAAAAAAAAAAAAAAAGCCTAATCTCCTAGGTTCCCAACTCATAAACTTAAGAAAATTTTTCAGATATAATAAATTCTGTCAACTACAACTACAACCCAGAAATGAAACTAATGAAACAAAAAAGATCCATTTTGTTTCAGCCTATCAATTAATCAACAAATATTTCTTGAGTATCCTCTCTGTGCAAGATAAGGGCCCACAGAAACATGAAAAAGGTCCTTTCTCCAAACAGATGATTGGTACAATGGGAGTTCAGTAAATATTTTTGAATGAATTAATGAATCAATTGATCACATTCATTGTCCAGGAAATGCTCCAAGTCCAGGCTCCCTAGGAAAAGCTTCAAACCTGGGAAAGTAGGAGAACCTTCTTCACAAATCTTCGTAGCCTGAACTTCTCTTAGTTATAACCACCTGGATAGAATCATACCTGTATCCATCTAGAACTTCTTGTTAAAGAAATGTTGTACATGGTGTTGGGGCTACAGCTCAGTGGTAGAGTGCCTGCCTCGCATCCATGAGGCACTGGGTACAATCTTCAGAACCACATAAAGATAAATAAATAAAGATATTGTGTCCATCTACAACTAAAAAATATTAAAAGATAAAAAGAAATGTTGTACATCATTCCTGTTACTGTGTTGCTTCGTTACTTTTAATCCATTGGATCATCCACCAGGGCATAATTAAATCTTTAAAATGATTAATCAGATCTCTAAAAATCCCTGCAAAATTATTTTCCATTACTAGACAAGAATGGTGTGGCAGGCTCCATGGCCTACTGACTTCTTTTTTCTTTCTCTCTTTTCTTTCTTTCTTTTCTTTTTTTTTTTTTTTTTTGGTGCTAGGGATTGAATCTAGGGCCTTGTGCATGCAAGGTGGCCTACTGATTTCTAAAGAGTTGAACAAATTTATAATACCAGAATAGAAGCGTACAAGTTTTTGCCTCAGTCTAACAGACACTGCTTGTTGTTATTTTGTGCTAATTAAATAGGTAGTATTATGGTAGGTATCCCCTGCTTAATTTCATATATGATTACCTGAATTAACTGAAATATTGGGTTCAGCTCTTCAGGCCAAAGAGGAAGCAAATTGGTGTTTCTGTGTAGTTATCACTTGTAACCTAGGCTCATGATTATTAAGCTTATTGCCTGGGCAATTCCAAATATGATCTCAATAGGAAATGTCATCTGACACTTGCAGCATTACTGAACTTCCTCTTTGATCTATTGGTCCTAGAGAAGTCTGGGTTTCTCTGTATCTTAGAGGGATCCCAAAGACTTAATTTGCCACAACCAATTATTCAACTTATTCAGAGAGTTATAGCAACACATACACATGCACATACATACATGAACAGGCATGTGCCAGATTCACATAATTAGGGATGCACCAGAAAGGATGAAATTTTTTTTTATGTTCCACACTATTTTAATTAGCCTTTGCAATACTGTGGCCAAAATACCAGATAAGAATAATTTTTTAAGGGAGGGAAAGTTTATTTGGGGCTCATGATTTTAGACTCTCAAAGCACAGATGGCCAACTCTTTTCCTCTGGGCCTAAGGTGAGGCAGCACATCATGCGGGAAAGGCCCAACAGAGGAAATCTGCTCAGCTCATGATGTTATGCTCGAATTCGGGACCCCCAAAAGACCACCAGAGACCAAGATCGATGTAAGCTGCAAAGAGGTGTTTATTGCAAGCTAGCTCGGTCCTCCACGAACACACAGCAACTGGTGACGCTGAGAGGCCCCGAGCCCAGGGTTTGCAGCAGTTTTATACATTCTTTGGAGGAGGCAGGGACCCCCACATACATCATAGCATCTCTTAGCAAATCATCACACACCGTGGGAAAATCATAAAACAACTCTAAAACATGATTAGCGTATCAAGTGTCAGGAAAGAATCTGGAAAGGATTATTGGTTAGTTCAAGGGGTTGACACACTTAAAATTGATTGGTTTAAACTGTGAGGGTGTCGCAAGGGGGGGTACGTGCCAAGCTGCAGGGCTTCTAGTTTAGATATTGGTCACCACACCTAGGTGGGGGCCATCTGGAATTTCAGATATTTCGATATCTTGGCCTATCTTAGGGGATCACCATCTGCAGCTTTTCCGAGAACTGTTTCCACAGAGCTTTTCTGTGGTATTTTCCTGACTTTAGGACTGCAGTAGGTCAGAGGTTAAGTTTCAGAGCAAAATGAGGTTCCAAGTAGAATGAGGTTGCTTAGGTCTTTCAATGACAGGGTCAGGAAGGAGAGAGAGAGAGAGAGAGAGAGAGAGAGAAAGGGGGCCCTACAGGGAAGAACAAGCCCACCCCCCCACCACACACACCCCCACTCTCCCCAACCCCTATGATTCACCTCCTCCAGCTGCACCACCTACTACAGTTACCACCCAGTCATTCAAACTAGGATGGATTAGGTTACAACTCTCATAAACCTCTGAGCTCTCACAATCCAACCACTTTACCTCTGAACATTCCTGCATTGAACCACGAGCTTTGGGGTGACACTTCATATCCAAACCATAACAAAAACCTTGTTTTGCTGATTTTTTTTAAAAAAAAAAAGGATATAATAAGTGTTTTGTTCATTTATTTGGCTTTCAGGTTTTCATTCATTTATCCATTCACTTATTTATTTCTTATTCAGGTACCATGTGTTGGGTATATGCTCAGTGCAAGGGATATAAAGAATAAGGTTCAGATTCTATCCTTGAGAAGGAGATCACAGATAATAGAAGATTAATATAAGCAACTAAATATAGTGTAGCTGTCACTGTCTCATGAAAGAACTGCACAGGAAAATAGAGGAATAGGTTGGATAATTGTTATAAAAAATAATGACAACTCTTAATTATAATGCACTAATAAATAATATTAAAAAATAATAATGATAACTAGAGACCCAGCTGAGCTAATGTTTGTAAGATTAAGGTTCAGACTTTGCTGGATTCTAACTCCTGCTCATCACCCTGCTCCTCTCCCCCTACACTCTGTTGGCAAACACTTGGATTATTTAGGAATCTGCTCATTCCCTGCTCCTTCCTGACTCCCACGGAATTGGAGCAAACCTCCCAGTATATAAGGGTGTCCAGAAAATTTGTCCTTTTGTCTGCTCACAAGTCTCCAGCAACAGCACTCTTCCTCCCCAGAGACAGGGAGTGATGGATCCAGACCCAGTGGGGCAGGGAAGTTCTAAGAGCCCTGAGAAGGAGCTAGTCATGGATTCAGCTCCATGCACATGAGGAGAGGATACAATTCAATACCACAAACCTCTGGATACATGTCTGAGGGTGGCCTGTAGTTCTTTGTAGATCCCTGATAAAGAGTGAGAGAACCACTTGTCCCTGATAGAGGCATGTATTAAGTCAGGAGGAAACTAAGTCCACTAAAATCCACTTTAGTGTCCATCTACAACTACAAAGGTATTTTAAAACATATACAGGTGGAAATGAACATACAAAAACTATTTAAGACGAGAGCTGGGGTTGTGGATCAGTAGCAGAGCACTTGCTTCACACATGTGAGGCCCTGGGTTCGATGCTCAGCACCACATAAAAATAGGGAAACTAAATAAAGATATTGTGCCCATCTATAACTAAAAATTTTAAAAATATATTTTCTAAATAAGCTATTTAAGATGAGAGAGAAAATGAAAATTGAGAGTTTTCATCCCTACTCCCTATTGCTGTATTCAAACTCCAATTCCAGGTCTTGTTTTTCTCTTCTTGTTTTTTTTTTTTTTCCCTGATTTTCCACCTCCCTAGCTCTGTGTCTTGTTCTCTGCATTTAATCACCCTGAACAATCAGTTCCTGGAACATACTCAGCTCTTTCTAGCTTGAGTCGTTGCCCACACTGTTGCCTCTGCCTAGACTCTTCTTATTTATATCTCAGCTTAAACCTCAAATCTCAATTCCTCAGAAAATCTTTCTCTGACACCACTCCCGGGAACAGATAAGGGTTTCCTGTGCACCCTGTACTTCTCCTTCATCCTCCTGAAGAAAACATAGACACAATGTCTCTGATTTCAAATCCTAATTCTACCACTTACTAGCTTTACAATCATAAAACAGCTTTCTTAATTTCTTTCTTCCTATTCCATCCAGAACCCAAAATCTAGTAAACTCCTGGCACACAGTTGATGCTCAATGGCTGTTATTGACTGCGACATTCTGACTTTTGAATAGGGCTTATGGACTCTCATTAAAATCCTCTGGGGAGCTCTTCAAGTGCTAATGCCCAAAATTTATCCCAAATGAAGGAAAGAAAACAAAGAGATGGAGATTAGCATGCAGGAATTCTGTGAGGCCATCATCCTGGAATCACTACAGAAGGAAGGGAAAGGAAAGAAGCAGAACTAGGCAAAGC